TATATATATATATATATATATATATAATCTTTACTGACCTGTCACTCTTGCTGACCATCCCAAATGACCTTGCAGTTCCTGCCCTGTTCCTAACCCTGGACCGAACCTCTGCCTGCCTCCCTGCCCCTTCGGAGCTGCCATCTCTCTACCTCGGGGCTGCCCTGCACCCCAACCCCGCCTCAGCCCTGCGCGCTGCTCAGCGCCTTCGCGGCCGGGGAAGAACTCTTCTGCCGCCTCCTGGCGCCCGGAGCCCGCGTTCGCGAGCGTCTCAAACCTTGAGTTGCCTTACACTGTAAACCTCCTCTCCCAACTCACAGCCAGAGGTCACCGCTCTCTCTTTGGAGAGATCATGGGATTGTCACCCACTCCGCTCAGCGACCGGACCATGTTCCTCCCCTCACAGCGAGGCCCCAAGGGCATTCCGGTCCTCCCCGGCTGCTCCCCTTTTCCTCCCGACAGAGCTCCCGCGGACTCCTCCGGAATCCCGGAACACAGTGCTGTCCCGACTTCAGGGGCGTCCCTGGTGCCAAGGGGCTCCCTTCCCTGTCTCCCCAGGACCAGGCACTGCTCCTTGCGGCACCTGCAGGGGGCCACCTCCCACCTGGAAGCCCCCGAGCGCGTGCCTGCGCTGCACACGGGAGTCCCCACTCTGGCCTGAGACTCTTGCGTTGCAGTTCTCTGCTCCAGTGTCCTATGTGCCATCAGGAAAGCAGATGGTTCTTCATACAAAAAGGCAGCGTCGGGCGGGGGATATAGCTCAGCAGCACAAGCGCCTGCCTGGCAAGCTCAAGGTCCTGAGTTCGATTCCCAGCACCAAAGGAAAAGTATTTGTTCCAAAAAGGCAACATTGCACACTGCCCAGGACACCCCATCGCCGTTTCCCTAGTCTCTTTTATGTGTAGCATCTGCTTCTCTTCTTGACATTGCAAGTTTCGTGAGAACAGGGCTTTGGTCACAGTTGGTGACTATGGTAAGCTCTCAAGGAATACTGGATGGATGGATGGATGGATGCCTAACTCCTCCCGCTGACATTATCAGAACTTAGAGAGCACCCATAAAGCTACCATGTATTAGAGGTCCGTGGTGTATCAGGCACTGTACTAGGAAATGTTACCAGCACATTTGTCTGAGCTGGTGCTCTGCTATTCACTTCTTTTTTTTTTATCTGCTATTCACTTCTAATTTGGTTCTCATGCCTGTGATTTCTACTCTCAGATAGTTCCTGAATCTACTCCTCTTTTCCATCTCTACCTGCCCACCTCTCAGTGCCTGTTATCTCCCTCCAGTCTGACCTTAGTTTCCAGTCTAGCTTCTGAAAATTGCATTTTTTTTTTTAACCATCTGATCTTTCTGAAGGTTATATTCAGTCACATCTTGATTAAAATCCTCCTCTCTCCCCATAGCCTTCAGGACAAGAAGTCACAGAATTTGATGAACAGCTTACAAAATGTACCCACCCCCACCCCCACCAGCCTCCCAACCCCCTCCCCGAATTCTCTTCCCCCTTCCCTCTACAGAGGGTTGAGACCTGAGGCCGTGTAAGTGCCTGGACTCAGATTCCGGCTGCGCAGCCGGCTGTGGTGGCCCTGAGGAGCCCCCTGCTGTCCGCCTCCGCCCGTCCAGCTCTGCAGGGCGGAAGGAGTCTGCGCTTGACCCAGCCTAAGCTTGCTCAGCACACAGGGAAGGTGCAACAAGCACTATCCAGAGTTTGTGTCCCACCACCACCCGAAATCAACCCGCTCTTCGCCTCTTGCTGTGTCAAGCTGCCCACCTGCCTGTGCCATCCTGCTTTTATTTAATTTTTTTTTGCTTTGTTTGTTTGTTTTGGTTTTTTTCCGGTATCGGGAATCGAACTCATGACCTTGCGCTCGACAGGCAGGCGCTGTGCCACTGAGCTAAATCCCCAGCCCCCGTCCTGCTTTTAACTCTCCCCCCCCTCACTCACTGATGCTCCAGGACACTTCTTCATGCTGATTCTCTGCCAACTGCAGCAGGTGCAACCTGGCTGCCCTCCGAGCAGTATTTGTGGGCTCCCGTCCAAGTGCCTGACCCGTGGCATTATATACACAGCTTAACTGGGCACTGCCTTCTGTCTGCACCAGCTGTAAATTCCCTGAGGCAGAGGGTACATTTCATTCTTTCTTTTTCTTTTATTTTTTGAGACAGGTTCTTGCTCTGCAGTGAAGGCTGGCTTTGAACTCGCTTATACAGCCCAGGCTGACCCTGAACTCACAGCAATCTTCCTACCTCAACCTCCTGAGTGCCGTGCCGGGCTTTATTTTTTGAGACAGGATTTCACCAAGGTATCCTGTTGGCCTTCAACTTGTGACCTTCCTGTCTCAGCATTCCCAGCAGTAGCACCTGATTTCTAGTTCCCTTTTGTCTTTTTGAGACAGGGTCTCGCCATGCAGTTCAGGATGGCCTTGAGCTCGCTTTGTAGCCCAGGCTGGCCTCAAACTCGTCATGATCCTGCTGTCTCAGCCTCCGGAGTGCTGGAATTAGAGGCATGCGCTACCACGTCCAGCCACTAGGTCCTTTTTAAAGTCACCTACTGTATTCTATTTTGTTTCTTTTGACTTTGTGTGTGAATATATATTATATAAAATTAAAATTAAAGAAAATAAACATAAGATGTACACATGTGTGAAGCAATAAGATCTGAGATGGAGCCTATGATTACTTCGCTTTTGGCAAAAATGACAAAGCAAGTTGAACAGTCATCAAAAAACACAGACAGATTTTAGTTAAAAATAATTGCTTCCTTCTCTGCCTGGACTTCTGAAAAAATCAATTGTCATCTAATATGAGTTTATATATCTATAAAAAATTTATATATCTATTTATATATCTATAAAAAAATGATGACTCTAGCTGGGTGTGGTGGCGCACACCTGTAATCCCAGCACTTGGGAGGCTGAGGCAGGAGGATCGCTATGAGTTCGAGGCCAGCCTGGGCTACAAAGTGAGCTCAAGGCCAGCCTGAACTGCATAGCGAGACCCTGTCTCAAAAAACAAAAGACAAAAAAAAAGAGGAATGATGACTCTAAACTAATGAGTCCAGTAGGAGATAAAGGTGAATTCTGAATTGTTACTAAAAAAAAAAAAAGAAAAGAAAAGAAACACGCAAACCTTGTATCTTCTGCTTTCTGTTTTTTGTCACTGAGCAAATGAAATGGGATGAAAAAGTCTCTTTTTAATAGTTTAAATTCAGACTTTTGAAGAAACATGAGAGTTATGTTGTATTAAAAGGTGAGAATATATAAAGGTGCAGATAGACAGCACTGAAAACATGGGGAGATTGTCACACTTTGTCCAGTGACTCGAAAGTGAAGCACCGTGAGCTGGCTGCTGGACAGCACTTCTCACGGTGTCTGTGTCCCGTGTCTTCTACAGAGCCTGCAGCGGGTGGCCTGAGCCTGCAGGAGCGAAGGACGAGCTCACCTCTCCCGCATGGCCCTCACTGCGACATCCGCCTGACTGCCCGGACCTGACCGACCAAAGACCCTGGGGAGGGTTTGAGTTCACAGACCGACTCCTGCCTGCTTCTTATTTTTGTTTTTTGTTTTTCTAAAAGGAAAATAACATAAATTGAAAAGTGAAGTCTGAACCACTGTTATTTGCCTACATAACAGAAATCTCTCCTCTTTTCCTGCACATTACTATTCTTTCTTTCTTTTTTTTTTTTTTTTTTTTTGTCTTTTTGAGACAGGGTCTTACTATGCAGTTCAGGCTGGCCTTAAGCTCACTTTGTAACCCAGGCTGGTCTTGAATTCACAACAATCCTCCTGCCTCAGCCTCCCGAGTGCTGAGATTACAGGCGTGCACCACCATACCCAACTACTATTCTTATATAGATTCTTTAAAATTTTTGTAATATTACTAACTCTGTAATGGTAACAAGTATAAGAACCTAAAGGGTTTTTTTTTCCATACTCCTATTACTTTCCAAAAGTGTGTTTTAAAGTGTTTCATCTAGGGGCTGGGGATTTAGCTCAGCGGCAAAGCGCCTGCCTGGCAAGCGCAAGGTCATGAGTTCGGTTCCTGGTACCGGAGAAAAACCAAAAAAAAAAAAGTGTTTCATCTAAAATCAAATGCATTTACTGGATCTACAGAATAGGGAGAAAATAATCAGTTCATTAATTATTTATATTGCAAGGCAAGGAAAAAGTTATTGCTGCCACTTTATACGGTAAGCTTTAGTGTTTACAAAAGTATGATATCTTGTATTTTATAAAGGTGCAAAGGAAAGTATAAAATACTAGTTGTGGTTCGTTTTATTTTAACGTGAAAATGTTGGTCTCTGAATCTTTTTCTCATCATGGGATTATAACAAGCCCATAGTTGATTTCCTTAGAAGTTCTGCTTTATATCCTTGATTAGTTTACATGGATAGTTCCTTTAAAAGACCTGCTCTATGTTAGCATCTAAGCTGCAGTGACCCGACGCAGTCCTAGCAGGGCTGCGTGGTTTCGTTTTTGTTTTTGTTTTTCTTGGTACCGGGAATCGAACTCATGACCTTGTGCTTGCCAGGCAGGACCACATGTGTAGCTCATGGATGAGCGCTTGTCACTGTGATGAGCCCTGGGTCAGTGCTCTCTCACCTTGGATGGGGAAACATGCAAGGACATCAGAAAGAATTTAGGGATATCCTCTCCTAGAAACGACACTCTCACGTCCAGATGTGAACAGTATCAATAACTAGCTCTTCCCAAGTGGTTAAATATGTTTTTAATTTGTATTTATTGAAAGACTTAACTTAGTGCTACAAAATTTTAAGTTAATTTCAGCTAAGACATTTACAAATTCATATGTTCTTTAGACAAATTTCTTTTTATGAACATTATAGAATAGGGAAGCCATTAAACTGATAGCTCCTATTTTGCTAAAACAGAAGTTTAAGATTAATAAAGAGTTTTAAGCAGAAAATCTGACAATAGTATGGAATTTGTGAGCTGAATGTGGTGGCATATGCCTGTAATCCCAGCACTTGGGAGGCTGACGCAGGAGGATCATTGCGAGTTTGAGACCAGCCTGGGCTACAAAGTGAGCTCAAGGCCAGCCTGAACTGCATAGTGAGACCCTGTCTCAAAAAGACTAAAAGCAAACAAACAAACAAAAAGAATATCATGGGATTTCTCTCCCTGTCAAAGTTCATTGAGAGTGTCTTCAGGGCAGGTCAGGCATGGTAGCATGTGCCTATAATCCCAGCATTTGGGAGGCTGAGGCAGGAGGACTGCTGTGAGTTGGAGGCCAGCCTGAGCAACATAGCAAGACCCTGTCTCCCAGAAAAATAAAAAATGAAGTGTCTTCAGGGATGGAAAGTGCTCATATAGGGCACTGTGATTACACTGACACACAAACAAAATGTCTTACGTCATTATTTAGATCTTACCCGGGAAATCCTAAGTAACTTTTATACAATACTAGAGACTGAACCCAAGGCCTTCACACTGAGCTACATCCTCTTTTTCTCCTTTTTTTTTTTTTTTTAAATTTTGTGACAAGGTCTTGCTAAAGTTGCTAAATTGCCTAGGCTGGGCTCAAACTTGTGATCCTCCTGCCTTAGCCTCATAGCATGCTGGGATTCTTTTTTTTTTTTTTTTTGGTCTTTATGAGACAGGGTCTCACTATGCAGTTCAGGCTGGCTTTCAACTTACTATGTAGCCCAGGTTGGCTTTGAACTCACACCAATCCTCCTGCCTCAGCACCCCAAGTGCTGGGATTAGGGGCATGCAACATCATGCCTGGCTGCATGCTGGGATTATAGGCACATCCCACCATGCCTGGCCCTTAATAATTTTCTGTATAGATTATAACTTCATATGTGCTTCTTAGTAGAAACATAGGCTATTGCCAACTATGTTTAAAATATGTACTCATTTGCATATTTTATATAAAATATGGTTTACACAGCCTCCATATCTCATTCAATACAAGCCTATAGTTTTTAAGGTAGAGTCTCACAGTTTGTTTTGTTTGGTGTTTCTGAGATCCAACTCAGGGCCTATGCATATGTTAGGCAAGTGCTGTACACTGAGTTAAACTCCCAGACCAGATTCTCATATTCACAGAAAAAGTTAAAGAACAATAATAACAACAACAAAAAAAAAACAGCACCTGTCTGGCAAGTGCAAGGTCCTGAGTTTGATTCCTAGTATCAAAAAAAAAAAAAAAAAAGAGAAAAGTTAAACAGCAGCCCTAATATTCTGTGATTAAATGATCACAGATTTCTGCTTATACAACTTCAATAATTATTCAATAAAACACTGGGTGATTTAAGTCTCTAGTTGTCCTTTCTTTAAGAAGCGGTCAGAGTGCTGAGTATCGGATGGTAGAAATGTTCCTGATTCTTGCCTCTGTTTCCATTATTTGCTCAATTCAAGATTGTCACGGCAATGGCAAAGACAGGGGGGGAGGGGGAACACAGGGGGAGCAGAAATGATTAAGATGTGATATCGTCTTACTTTCTCCTCACTGAGACCCAGTACCCATCACCCACATCTCTAAGGAAGACAGGTTTATTTAGCTCACAGTTTGTAGAGGTTTCAGCCAGTCAGCTGGCTCCAAGGCAGGGTGGCACGGCAGAGGAATATGGTGGAGGAGAAACAGTCCATGGCATGGCAGCCAGGAAGCAGAGAGAGATCAAGGGAGGAGGAGGGAGGTAGACTCAGGCCACGCCCCCAGGGACCACCTCCCGGACCTAGGCTTCACCTCCCCACTCACATTTAGCTATAAACTCCTCAGTGCACTAACGCACTGCTGAGTGCCATACCTCATGATCCAATCACCTTCAGAAATGCATGAGGCCTTGGAGGGGACATATAGATATCAACCACGACAGCCACGTATGTGTTCTAATTCCCCAAGGTGAGTGTAGTTGTTCTGTACTGCGAACATACACCAATAAAAAAAACCTCCAAAGTAGCAGAACAGACTGGGTCTCTGATAACAGAGCTGTAGCTTGTTCTCTGGGGGCAGGTAGAACAGGAAGTCAGGGCAGTGTTTGCGTCTTTCAACAAATCTGTATGACTTGGTATTCATTTTATGTGCACTTGCCACCATGAAAGTAGCTTTATAATATTCTTCAAAAGGTTTTGCTTTTGTTAGTTGTTATGTAGCCCAGGCTGGCCTCAAAGCTGAGCATGGTGGTGCACGCCTGTAATCGAAACACTCCAAAGACTGAGGCAGAAAGATCGCTGTGAGTTCAAGGCCAGCTTGGACTACATATTGAGACCCTGACTCAAAAAAAAAAAAACAAAAATAAAAACAAAACAAACACATAGAACAAAAATTCTCCTAATCTACAACTGAAAAATGGAGAATTTTCTTTTCATAGCAAAGGGGGCTTGACTGCATTTTTACTGTGGATAGACTTCCGTGATAAGCACGGGGCAGTCAGCCTTTTCCACTCACCCTTCTCCATTTCAGGAACCTGTGGAAGACGTTCTAATTTTACCCCATGAACTCAAGATCCAAAAGGGAAAAAAGCCCCGGGCCATGTCAGCGCTTCTCCTGTACCAGCGGCTCACAGGTGCTGAACACCACCTGTGGAAGATGTTTTTTTGTTTGTTTTTGGTTTTTTGAGACAGCGTCTCATTTTGTAGCCCACGGTGAACTGGAGCTTGCAGAGATCCTCCTGCCTCAGCCCCGAAAGTGCTGGGATTACAGGGGTGTGCCAAAATGCCCAGCCTGCTTTGTGTTTGAGACAAGGTCTCAGTACATTGCTAGGTTGCCCAGCCTGAGTTTGAACTTGTGATCTTCCTCCTCAGTCTCCCAGAGTGCTGGGATGATAGGTGCGCACCACTACTCCCACTTGTTTTGTTTTGTTTTTCTACCTGGGTTTTGAGGACTAAGACTTGTTGCTTTTTTGTGTGTGTGACAAGGTCTTGAACTCACTGTGTGGCCCAGGCTGGCCTTGAACTCACGGGAATCCTCCTGCCTCAGCCTCGCGAGTACTGGGATTACAGGTGTTCACCACCGCCGCGGCTCATGCTTTTCCGCCAGTGCTATAAATCCACTGCACAAGTTTTCCATACGTTGAAAATGTTTCTGGGCTGGTGAGGCTCAATGGTAGCGTGCTTGCTAGCAAGTGGGAGGCTCAGATGTCAATCACAGCGCGCGCGCACGTTCCCAGCCCACCAGAACGTTGAGGAACTGGGATGCGTGCACACGAGCTGAGCATCTAAAAATCGTCTGCAGCCCGGTACCACTACAGTCCTGCTCTGAAGTCCTGCGCCTGAGACCTGCGGGAAGGTGGGGCTCCCCGACCGCAGCGCTGCGAAGGAGCGCCCGCGCATGCGCAGAGTTCGGGGCGCGCCCACCTGCAGAGCGCAAGGTACCCGCGCTGGTCTCTGCCGCCTCCTAGTGCGCACAGCTGCGGCAGACACCTGACGCCTCACAAGGGTCCCCATCGCTCCCGCTTTTTTTTTTTTTTTAAGGGTAGAACCTCGCTGTATATCGTCCAGGCTGGCCTCAAATTCAACGCGATCCTCCTGCCTCTGCCTCCCGAAGGCTGGGATTACAGGCGTGCAGACCACGCCCGGTTTAGGATGTGTCCTGAAGCATGATTTAAGCGGGCTTTGGCGACTTCCATGCAGTAAAAATAAGAGCTGGGCGATGGGGCCAAAATGTGTTCCTTTGGCTCGTGATCCTTCATCTTCCTCAGCTTTTCTACGTCTGTCCGCCCGGGAGGCGGCGAAAGACACTGTTTGGGGTTCGCTGGCTACCACGAGGCTCTGCATGGTAGGCCAGGGTTCCCAGGCCCGGTTCCGCCTGAGGGCCTCGCCCGGCTCCTCGGTCCGAAACCACCCGCCTTGTGCACGCGGCGCCAGGCCTGCTGCGGGTCACCTGCTCCTCAGACCTCACTGCTTCCCCGCTACCACGGTGGGCACTGTTGTTCAGTTTGCCTAGCCTTCAGGTGTGGTCACACAACGTGCCCGTAATCCCAGCTACCTGAGAGGCTGATGGGGTAATAAAATATTCCCGGCCAGCTTGGGCAATCTGATCAAGAAAGAAACTGTGGAAGGCTAGGCATGGTGGCGCACACCTCTAATCCTAGCACTCGGGAGGCTGAGGCAGGAGGATCTTTGCAAGTTTGAGACCAGCCTGGGCTACAAAGTGAGCTCAAGGCCAGCCTGAACTGCAGAGTGAGACCCTGTCTCAAAAAGAAAAAAAAAAAGAAGGGCTGGGGATATAGCTCAGTGGCACAAGTGCCTACCTGGTAAGCACAAGGTCCTGAGTTCGATCCCCAGTACCGCATAAAGAAAAAAAGAAAGGAAAGGGCTGGGAATATAACTCAGCACTTCCTGAGCTCAATCCTAGCATCACAAAACAAAGTAATGGCACCACTGTAATCCCAGCACTCGGGAGGCTGAGGCAGGAGGATTGTTGCAAATTCGAGACCAGCCTGGGCTGCAAAGTGAGCTCAAGGCCGGCCTTAACTACATAGTGAGACCCTGTCTCAAAAAGAGACCCCCCACCAAAAAAAAGATATAAGACAAAAAAGTCACAAAAATCTCCTGCCCCTAACTTTCATTTCTTTTTCCCCCAGCCTCTACATGTGATCATTATGAACTGCAAGCATGTACTAATAAAAAATTAAAATTAGAAAACAAATTTCATTTTTGCTTTAAACCAGGGACAGTAGCACAAGCCTGTAATCCGAGCATTCAGAAGGCTGAGGCAGGAGGATTTTAAACTCCAAATCATCATGGGCTACCTAGTGAGTTAACAACATAGCAAAACTTTGTCTCAAAACAAATAAATTTTTAAAATAAATTTCACTCCTACTTTAAGAAGGAATGGGAAGGCCAAGCATAGTGGCCCATGCCTGTAATCCCAGCACGCAGGAGGATCACTGTGAGTTCAAGACCAGCCTAGGCCACACAGTGAGCTCAAGGCCAGCCTGAACTACGTAGTGAGACCCTGAATCAAAAAGACAAAAAAAAATTTGAAAAAAAAAGAAGGAATGGGAAATGACTTGTCCTGTTTTGTGTTGTTTTTGAGATAGGGTCTTTTTTTTTTTTTTTTTGTCTTTCTGAGACAGGGTCTCGCTCTGCAGTTCTGGCTGGCCTTGAGCTCACTTTGTAGCCCAGGCTGGTCTCGAACTCACAACTATCCTCCTGCTTCAGCCTCCCGAGTGCTGGGATTACAGGCGCGCGCCACCGCACCGGCTCTAGATAGGGTCCTTTAGACTGCCCAGGCGGGCCTGGAATTCCGGTGCTCCAGCCACCTTCCTGCGCCAGCCTCCTTAATAGCCGGAATGACAGGCACCTATTCTCCCCGGCTCACTTTTAGGTGACTTTTCAGGTGAATATATGTTCCTGCCTTTACCCCACCAGACACTGTTCAAGGAGCTTGATGTCACGGAAACCCACTTCATACTCACAACTCTAAAAGGGAAGCTGTAATTGTGTTGCCTCATCTTTCCATTTATCAGTGAGGAAACTGCCACAAAAACAGTCAGCCAAAAGATCAAGCAACAAGCCCAGTGCCCGAGGCAAGCCCTGTGCCAGCTGGAGTGAGAGACGCCCAGGTGCCTGGGTTAGCCCGGATCTGGGCATGTCCAGATGATGATTTACTAAGGAGGGAAGACCCGCCCTGGGTGTGGGTGGCACTCACCAACAGGCTTGCAGCATGGATGGGATAAATAGGGGGCAGGGAGCCAGGCACAGCGCACGCCTGTAACCCCAGCACGTGGGAGGCTGAGGCGGGAAGATTGCCACAGGTTTGAGGCCAGCCTGAACTAGGTAGCAAGGCCAAGAACCAGAAGACAAAAAGGGAAAGGAAGAAGTCACAATTCTGCTCCTTTGGAGGAGATCCAGCATCCAGCCTTCACCATCGCCTTTGGACATCGATCCCGGCTTCTGGCACAGACCCTTCGGCTTCCCAACACCAACGCACGTGACTGCAGGGAGCTGCGGGCCTTCACCTGGATCCTCCAGCGCTCCAGCACGCAGACAGCCCTGACCCTGAGGGCAGCCGCTGTAAGTATGTGATTTACACAATATATACTACGCATACATATATATATATATATATACACACACACGCACAGTATGTGTATTGTATATAGGTACACTACATATTTACATATATGTTGTAGAGATATATATTAAATCTGCTACTCTGTTGAACTCTGATACATACTTCTCACGCTTCCTGTGGAAAGTATGTCGCAGGCCCCTGCAGGGCAGGGAAGTGATCTGCTGGAACCAGATGGAACCAGCAGAGACCAAGATTACAAAACTCCTCAGAGACTAACAGGGATGAGAAATATTCCTGGGCTGAGAAATTAGTTTATCCTGCTCTAAACTTAGGTTGTTTTTGCTCTGGTTTTTTTGTTTGTTTGTGGTGCTGGGTCAAGGGTCATCCGCTGCTAGGTAACTGCTCTACCCCCAAGCTATATCCCTAAGCCCTGAATTAAAATTACAAAAGAGGAATCCAAGGTGTGACAGTCAACTTGTGCTTTTGCTTTTTTTGAGGCAGGGCCTTGCTAGGTGCTAGAGCTCTCTATGTAGCTCAGCCTGAGCTGGAACTCAAGGCAGTTCTCCTGCCTCCACCGCCAGAGTGCAGGGATTACAGGTGTGTGCCACGGTGCCCAGCTGTGTGGGTGAGTGTGTGTGTGTGTAACTGGTGATGGAACTCTGGCACACTTTACCACGGAGCTACCTCCCCACCTTTTTTTAAAATTTATTTATTTTTTATTCTGAGACTGACTAAATTACCCAGGCTGGCCTAGATTTAGAAATCCTCCTGTCTCAGCCTCGCAAGTGGCTGGGATTATGTCTTATTTAAAATGCTTCACTGACTTTCCCTTTCCACTCGGTAAAAATCAAAATCCTCAGCTTTGCCAAAGAGGCCTTTTCACATTGCCGCATCACTCTCACCATCCTCAGTAAACCCTTTGCTGTGTACTACACCTACTTTTTTGTTTTGTTTGAGACGCGGTCTCTATGCGGTTCAGGTTGGCCTTGAGCTCACTTTGTAGCCCAGGCTGGTCTCGAATTTGCAGCGATCCTCCTGTCTCAGCCTTCTGGTGCTGAGATTACAGGCATGCTTCCCTTTAGTGCAGCCAAATGCCCTCTTTCAGTCCCTTGTGCCCTGGTTTAATTAATGGGTCTGGATGAAACCTGGGCAATGGGAATTGGATGGTACTTTATTTTATCTTTTTTTTTTTTTTGGTACCGGGAATCGAACTGGGGACTCGGTGCTTGCCAGGCAGGCACTTGTGCCTCTGAGCTATATCCCCAGCCTAGTTCCTAGTGTCCTAAACCCGAAGGCCTTGGGTTCAACCCACAGGCATTACCAGTGTCCTTACAGGCTCTTTCTTCTTTTTTTTTTTTTTACAGGCTCTTTCTTCAGCCTTGAAGAGTTCTCTCCAATGTGTCCCACCAATTCACAACCCTCCCTTAAATCCTGCCTAAGAGTCACTGCCCCGGGAGAGACTAGGGAGCCCGAGCTGTGAGGTGAGCTCGACTGAGGCTACCCGCTCCCAGTCCCTCCTTCCTTTCCTAAGCAAGGCCCCTCCCTCTAAGGCTACCCCACCCTGCCCCTCCAGGCTACTGAGGCAATTTCCTTTTTTTTTTTTTTTTTCGTCTTTTTGAGACAGAGTCTCCCTGAGCAGTTCGGGCTGGCCTTGAGCTCACTTTGTAGCCCAGGCTGGTCTCGAACTTACAATGATCCTCCTGCCTCAGCCTCCCAAGTGCTGGGATTACAGGCTGCGCCACCACGCCTAGTTTATGAAGCAGTTTCCTATCCAGCTCCACTTCCCGCGCCCTGGGGGAAGGGTCAAACTAAGCTTTGGGGGTGTTATGTGGGCTTTGTTTCTCGGTTTGCGACACGTATCCGCAGGCAGTTCAGGCTGGCCTTGAATGGAGTTTTACTACGTGGGCCAGGCTGCCTTTGAACTTTGGGATCCTCCCGCCTCAGCCTCCCCCACCCGACCCCCAGTGCCGGGATTCACACACGCCCAGTGCAGGTGAGGCTTTTAAAACCTGCCCGCAAGGACAGGCGTTCAAGGCCAGCCCCAACTGCGAAGTCAGGCCCCGTATCAAAACCAAAACAAAAAACCAGCCCGCAGGGCAGACGTTGTGGCTTAGAGGCGCCTCTGCAGACACACACAGCGCCCTGGGTTCCATCCCAGCCACGCAAAAAGAAAACCTAAAAGCAGCCTGCAGCTTTACTGTGCGCTTCTGTCGCTCGTCGCAATGAAAACACCGTCATAGGAAACTCCAGAAGGCTGAGGCAGGAGGATCATTAAGTCAAGCCCAGCCTGGGCAACTTAGCAATTTAGCAAGACCTTGTCTCGCGGAAACTAAAAAAAAAAAAAACTGGCGATGTAGCTCAGTGGAAAGGCCTGAGTAACCACAGTGTTACAAGAAAGAAAAGGATCTGAGAAGGCCGCCAAGGCCTCAACGAAGAGGGGCCCGCCCTGGTCTCAGCTACGCCCCACCTTTCCACAGTGCGCAGGCTCTCTGCGCATGCGCGGGCCC